ATACTGGATAAATAGAGTTATGATAATCATATCAATAAGGTCATCAGAACGGCTTTTTGTCACACTCGACTTGCTGGACTATCCAAACCATCACTAGTACAACTTTGACGACAGCAGTCAAAGTCCTTACATGGAAATTTGAACATATTACCCCAGTGTTAAAGTCATTTCTCCCATTTCAACACATAATTACCTTTAAAATGCTTCTATTAGTTCATAACGCTCTCAATAGTTTGGCTCACTATTACATCTCCGACTGTTTCAGTGTCTATAACCCAATTAGACCTCTCAGGTCACCAGGTGCAAATCTTGTGACTATTAGATCCAAGTGTGCTGAGTGTTTCAGTTACTGTGGTCCTTTTCTTTGGAATACATTCTCTGCAGACGTCAGGTCAGTCACAACTGTGTCTTCATTCAGAAAGAAACTTTCTTTTTGGGAAAGTCTTTCTGTTCTCACAGGTTTAAGCTACATCCACGCTGGGAACCATTTGCTCATTGCATATCGCATTAAAGCTGACAGTTCATTGCTTGCAGATATTCCACGCTCCAGCTGCCTAGGTGACCATCTAATGTATTTATGTATTTACTACCAGGTCACGTATCAATCAACAGTAATCTTTACTCTCACTGGTAGTTGCTTCAGTTGCCCGACTCGAAGTTGAGAAAACTTTATCTCAGGTCCGATGCAAGTTTATAAGAACTGACTCGTTTTTGGAACCAGCACCAAGTGGTCACTCAAGGAACTTCAGCCTTTAGGTACTTAGGCAATAGGCAATAGTAGTAGTTACAGTCTACAAATAAGGACATGAGTGGTATCAGTCTACTCGTGCCTATTCTCCAGGAGAGTGAAAAAGTATGTTTTCTAAAATGAAAATAAAAATGTATTAAAAAGTTTGAACAGCTCATGATTAAAATGTTACAAATACATGATTAGCCACTTAGCTTACTCCTTTTTGAATATGGTAAATTCTTAAGATTGTTTACAATTAGAGTAAGTTAGCCAATCATGACTGTAAATAACCTGGAATGTAATTTAACTGATTGGTCGTTACTGTATTCATCTTTCAATATTTATGAACAGAGCAAATATCTTACATAGTACAGTATATGTTATTGCATCCATTCAACCAATAACTGGATGCATAATTATTAAGTACAGGATCAATGCATTGATCCAATGCACTGAGAAGTGGGATGCCTTTTAGGCAACAGTGTCCAAAAGACACTTTAAGTGGTTGTGCATTCTAAATGAACCACTGATAACCTATTTAAGCACGAGAACCTTCTTGCAAGCCATTAAATTTTTATGTATCCACTCAGCAATTCAACTATGAACACTATCCATGCCCGATATATTTACATAGTGTCAGGCAATGTTTTCAAAAGTCAAAAAGAAGAGATTTTCGAGACTGTGATCAATAATTGCTCCTCAGTTTCCGTCCTCAGAAGTCATCCACCAGATATCAGTGACAGGCCAAGGCTCATTATGTAGCTTTAAGAGGGAAATAACACAGTCTTGTAACATAAATACCACCGCAATGCTTCAATAGGAATACTAGATGAAGATGTCTCATTCAGTTTTACGCCTGTGTGCATGTGTGTGTGTGTGCGCGCGCGCGCGCGAGTGTGTCTGTGTGCATGCACCTGTGGATTGATAATGAATGTGTTTTTCCCCTGCTGAGGCTCTACTCAGATCAAAGTCTAGCAGGGTCTCTGAACTGCTCCCGGATGAAACACACAGACACACACACAGACAAAGACACACACACACACACACTTCGAATATGTCTCCTGCCTGGACAGCTTCCCTTGCTTTGCCTCTTTTGTTGGAAGCCCGATAGCTGCGGGTGTGAGGGACAGTTGGACTGAAAGCCAGGTGAGAGAAGGAAGTATTACCACGTCACAAGCTAACCATCGCCAAGGCCACCACTTTTCCATGACAACAGGGATTTTATCACTATGGTAACACAAACGAGGTTCTAGGAAATGACACCAAGGAAACGAAGGTCAGAAATAAATATCTCATAATACAGAAATACTTAAATTAAATATTGAAAATTAAATATTACATTGTGTCGACATAAACGTACAAAAATTATTTTTTAATAAAAAGGGGGATTTACTGTAGGACTTGGTATTTCAAGCAAAAATAATATTCAGTGTTGACTTAGAACTATTCACTCACCCACTTCTAATCTCCAGTGATGGTGCATATTTCTGGTACATCTGTCATGCTAGCTTTACCTGGTGACGTTTGAGCGGAGCCTCATTTTTCTTTATTTCTCAGAACATTTTGACAGCTGTAATAGTCTTCCACTTTTGACTTTTCTCCTGTTTGCTAACTACCATCAAACCTTAAAGTGCCATTTTTACATTATAGCCACCTTATACATACACACATAAAACCAGGAGTAGAAATCGTCGCATGAACGACTTGATTTTTTATAATTTAAGGAATATTCAAAAATATTCCCTAATTTACACAGAGAGATACATGGTAATGGAAAGTCCATGATGTTAAAAATGTGTCAAACTCATAAATATGCAGTCACAATTTTTAAAAAAGGGGCACATGAATAGTAAACATGCTTGCATCAATTAGCATTTATGCTACTTTTTTATTTTGTGAGCTTAAATAAATGCAGTGAAATGTGCACGTGTGCAGATTTAAGACTCAGATGCACTGATTACGGGACTCTTATATGAACACCTCATTCATTACTCCGAATATTCCTTTTGGAGAAGAAACTTTGAAACTCAGCGGGGGAGAGCATCTAATGATGAAACAGTGTTTCATCTGGTGTGACAGTAAAAGCGACTCCCCACTGGACTAACAGAGAATTTTTTGCTGATGTCTCAGAGCCTAGTTTTTAAGATAGCCAGCAAGCTTGCATCCTGATTTGCATCAAAGCTGAACAGATGTGCGATTCATCTGCTATATTGTTACCCTAAAATCTTGCTTTTTAAAGGCCAGACTAAAAAGAATATATTTAACATGATTTATTCAGTAGTAATAGTTTAATCTCTAACATTAATCTGTTCGTTACATCCCCACAAGCATTTAAAATGGTGAATATATCAGGCTAAATACATTCATTTTCACTGGCTTGCCATGATTAGTGGAGTTCTCTGCAAAAGCAAAGAAGATTTTTGGTGAATATTTAATAGTAAGTTTAAAATAAAAATGTTAACAACTGCAAAGCATTGATGCATTTAGCTTTAAGGGAAAATACAGAGGAAAGTCTGAAGTTTGTAGTCTCCAGATCACCTGGCTGATTGGTTGCTCACATGCTTTCATCTGACTAAATTCTCACTGTTTGGAAAATTACCGGTGTTTCTTTGATGAGGAGAAAATCACGAGTCCTCTGGGAATCCATTATAATCCATTATTTTTGCCAGTGAGAGGAACACGCTGCTTGTGGAAAATGGGAGTTTTGAAAATGTTGCATTTTCATAACCGTGAACCTGCATTACCCGACAGGTCTAACTAACCGCTGAGCATTCGGTGTCAGAGCCAACCTGCAGTGGCTGTATTCGTCAAAACAAAGTCTAGGGCAGATTATGCAAACACAGTTTAACAAGTTAAAATGGCATATAATCTAAAAACATCATGCTAATGTGTCTGTGTTGGGATGTGCTGATAACTTTGAATGCAAACAAACCCAAACTGGCATCTTTCAATATGTTTGCACTAATAATATGACTATCCTTTCAGCAATAGCTTGAGTGGCTCCAGCATCTGCAAGTAGTAGCAAATAGAGATATTATTCATTTATTTTGATGAATGAAGTCAGCATTGCCTAACTGAAAGATAACGAGTTCTCCTGCTGTTGCTAAACTGTCTGCCTGCCTAGTGTAGCCTGGATCATGATCTCTAATTCATCTCAGTCAGAAATGATCCAGCTTTCATGGTGCACTCTGTACACCTTCCAGCTTTTCTCAGACATGTTCTTAGCCTCTAAGGTGCTTGCCACTTGGTTATGGCCACCAGAATAGAATGAGTAGAAATATGATTTCAGTTTCCTGGGACCCAGGACAAAGAGATTAGGGTTTTATTTGGTTCCCATGCAGTCAGAGTTTAAGCATCACTTAAACCAAGGCAACAGTGACAACATGTAAAAGGAAAACAAGAGGAAAAAAAAGAAAAAAAAAAGGTGGGCTTAGCTATGTTATAATGAGCAACCCAAGTGCAAGAAAAATGATGCACCACATGGCGAAACATACAAGCAGTCATTATATTCACTTTCAGATAAAATATGTGCGTTATGCATTATTAGAGTAGATATTTAGTAAGAGAGGAGGTCACCAAGACACCAGCTGGCTTATACACATGAGAAATGTGGCATTTTAAATATTCTGAACAGATTTTACATTCCCTTTCATTTTAGCTCAAACCACATTTCACTCCCTCTCTACAGATGCTTCACTGAGAATAGACCCCTCTGATGATAAAACACCACTAATCCAAAAATAAAGAATAATTCAGGCAACATGTTAGTGAATATCCAAAAAAACCACATTATTCACAACCATGTTATTTTTCATCAAACTGATACGACAGATTTTTGGTCAGGCAGCAAAGAATGAATAAATCTCTTTAATTATTTTTCTTAATTGACCAAATGATAAATCAGTTAGGAAAGACACTCATAGAACAATAAATAATTAAAACAGCCCTTTAGATGCCACCTTAAACTTGTACACTTCCCCTTTAATTCCAAAGTTACTCAGTCTTAATTTGCATCTATTAAAACAGGAAGAAGTGTTTTAGTAGCTTTGATTGCTGCCATTACATTAATGCAAAGGGTTATATAAATAGCACAGCATTACTCCTTAGAGAGGATATCTGTGTTGCTTCCCCCTTCTTCCCCTCGGGGAAGTGAGATGTCATTACATTCCAGGTAAAAGACTTGTTCTCACTTGAGGCTCAGGCCTTCAATAATGATCATCTTGTTTTGTAACTGGAAAACTGAAGGTAAAGGGCATTTAATGCTTCTTACCTGTGAGCTGACAGTCGTCGTTGGAACCTGCAGAGTCCTCCTGGTTGGGGCTGAGCGGAGGGCTGGCGGGGGGACTGGTGCTGAAGCTGGCGTAGCCGAGGGAAGAGCTCACCTCGCTGGGCTCACAGCTGTGGTTGACCGGCCTTTGGACATCCAAGGATGAAGACAGAGAGGTGCGCTGTTTGGGCTGGGAGAAGAGAAGACGAAGGGTTTGAGAGTCCAAAACTTTTTTGTTTGAGTGTTTAGTTTTGTTTGGGTTGCTTGAAAAAAGGTTTGCCAGACAGATTTTTTTGCTTCCCGTCTGAATGAAAAACTTAAAATTAACTCTCAGTATGGTTTTGTATGTTGCGATTTCAGTTTCACATTTTCCTAGTAGCAGGGTACTTATTCGTATATCTTTTGATTACTGTGTTATTATGACCTGTTTCTGTTAGATTTATATTGTTGGATTGTCATTTATGCTTAGAAATATCTACTCATATATGCTTAGAGTTTTATAATCAATGTCATGTTGGTAGAGGGTTGATCCTTAATAGTCTGCAAAGACTTTGTGTGCATTCCAGAGTGTTCTGGCATTCACACCCACATCCTGGGAGCATGGGAGAGGTCGTACCTTCGCTTATTGTTTTGTGGTATGATAAACATATCTATATCTGTTTTAGTCTAGGTGCCTTTTGTTTAGATGAACTGCTGGGCTTCCAGACCAGCAGGTTTAGGGAAGTTGTTTATAGGGTCACACTCTGACCACACACACACACACACACAGCAGTGTTACGAGGGAGCGGACGAGAGCAACTGGGGTCAAGTGGAAGGAACGTCACTTGGCTCGGGCCTCCCTCGTATACGAGAAATATAAAGAGCTCTGCTTGGTGTTCAATGCTTTTTGCTGTGTAACTGAATTGTCTTGAACGTTCCAGCGAATAGGTTTATGCTACAAACTTATCAGTTTCCTGTTTATGAATGAGGTTTTTTAGGTTTTTACTAAGTCAGATCCTACATTACATTATGTTGTGTTGCAGCTTTATGTTGTTCATGACCAGATCGCCACTAAAAGGGAACCATTGCAAGAATTGCAATTGCAAGAATTTACAGCTTTAGAGAAACACAGTTCTCTCTGAACAAACAGCCCCTTTTTGATTTATACCAAAAATAAAATGCAGTTGCCTGCAGCTCAATAAATGTTCCCACTCATCATGAGATGTAAGAAGAGTTATCTGTTTTTCATCACTCGTTTTACCACAGGGACCAGCTAATAACTTTAATTACCAATAAAGCAATTTTCCTTATTTTTGTTTTGATCCTCTCGCCCTTTATTTTCATTTTCCTTTTTATACGAAAGATCCACTTCTGTTGCTGAAGATCTTGTGCTTTCTCATAGTCAAAAGCAAATCCCTTTATTATTTTATTTTATTATTTTCTGGATGAGTTTATGGGTGGTGCAATCACTGCTAGGAAAAGGAGAAATGGATGCAGCAGTTTATTGAAACATGTGGAAACATACATGAAAATACACCATATGAGGCAAAAACACAAAGGCATTGTTTTAAGTCAAGGCATGTATTCCTATTGTTTCAAAAAAAAATGTGTATAACATAAGATATGGACATCTGTTTTTTCCTCACGTAAAACTGGGATGCAAGATAGCAGATGACAGAGGTAGAACAGGAAAAAGAAGCGAGCCAAAATGGCTGCTTAGAAGACGCAAATGTGAGTGATAAAGTGAGACAGGGGACAAATGAAACTGTAGACTGGCATCTGGTAAACACATCTTACATAATGAGGCATTTGCAGCTCTCAACAACCTGCTGCTAAGCTTCACAAACAACTCAGGCAGTCAAAACCCTGCTGGTGCATGTATATGCAATCACAACTCAAAGGATGTATGCTAAGGGAATCAATAGAGTGAACTCTGAACGCAAAATATCACCCTGAAATATTGAGAGACAGACACACACACACACACACGCACAACAGAACAACCTTCGTAAGACCTTCACGGTCTATTTTGTGACTCAAGGTATGAAAACAAAACCTTGAGAGATGGGAAAAGAATATAAAAGGAAATGAAAGCAGGAGGAGGAGAGGACGCTCTTTTCTATGCATGACGCATTCAAATTGGGCTTTGAGATATTCGCCGAACTAAACTGGGATGAAAAACACAAAAGCAGAACAAGAACAGGGGAAAAGGCTGAGTGAGGATGAAAAAATGGAAAAAGTGAAGACACGCCGACTGAAAAGAAAAGCAATTAAGAAATAAAAAGGAAGAAACAAAAGAAACAATGAGTAGAGGTAAACATTTGAAACAGGATAGGGAGGATCAGGCCAAAAAGCAAGCGATCACTGACGAAAGTAAGAGGTACGAGATTGAAATACAGAACAAAAGAATGGAAAATAGAAAGAGAAGACAATGTACAAAAAAAGGAAGGACAGTGAAAGAATGATTAATTTAACATAAATTTGAAAGCCTGGATATCTTTCTCTATTCTGGGAAATAAGTGCTGTTGGGTGAGAATACTAACGCTAACCCAAACTCTCATGTCTGTGCAGTATTTATGAAGCTGCAGCCTTTAAGCTAGCTTAGGGGAAAATCTGACAGTTTTTTTCTGCTTGTTTGCATCGATTAGACAAGGTACGCCATGCTGAGTGAGCTTTAAGGGTGCAGGTAGGCTGGGGTAGAGCTGTTTATTCCATTTCTTTAGTAAATTACAATCATTTCCAACTAACTTTACCAATAAAAGAAAGAAATCCACCCCAAAGTACACCGCTACTGAACTTGAAGATCAATTTGGTGCAGTGTGTTTGGTCTTTTAAGTTGAAGAATGAAGAAGAATTTTTGCACACACAGAGAGAAAATGACATCCAGCTAAGAGTGAACACTTCAGGATACACCACTGCTCAAGTCCAAGCTAAAAGAACCAAATATGGCACAGAGTTCTTTTTTTTTTTTTTTTTTGTGGAAAGTCAGTCACCAGGGAGTTACACGACAGCAGCAGCAGAAACCAACAGAGTCTAAGGATGTTTAAAGGACCAATGCATCAACCAGACAAGATCACAACAACCCAGAAAGGGTACAGGGAGTAAAGACGGTGATGTATGAGCCCAACAGGGAAACACACTGACTGGGCAAGGGGAGGGACATTACAAGAACTAGCTGTCAAAGCCACGTATTCTCTTCATTAGTCTTTCCATTTGTCTTTGGTCGTGTAACAGAAGCAATTCTACACAAACCGACAACTTAGGCGTTGTTATCAGGTCTCTGCGATCTAAAGCGTACATAATCTGTGGAAAATAAAGACACTGCTACAAGCCATGTGTGACATGACTCAAAACGTGTTACTGGAAGCTTAACAACAGAACACTGAGGGCTCAAAATGAGATTAAGCAATCGTGAACACAGAATGAGTGAACTCCTTCAAATGTGACACCGTGGTATTTTAAAGTGGCAATCTGAGCCTTTGTGTGTCTCCGTCTTCAGGGAGTTTAATGGGTACATCAACTGCTCCTAAAGCATCCCTCTCTTACTGTACTTATCGGCAGCTCATCTATGTGCATTTGTCTTCCTCTTCTTTCAAACTATTAAATGTGTCTGTTCTCTAGACTTGTGCTTGTTAAGAGCCTGCACACGCACACTCATTAACGCATATAAGAAAAAAAAAAAAACATGCACATGTGCCATAGCTCTGGCTGAGGCTTAACATTAACAATGCAAACAGGCAGCGGGCTAATGAACATGTCGTGCCCGATTGGAAGGGGATTAATGAGCATAGACACACGGGAACACACACACACACACCCCATGCATGACTAAACATTAGAAGAAACCATTTTCCTTCCTTTAACAACATAGCAAAGGGGGGAAAAGGTCATTTAACTAGCTACGTATGTTGAAATCCTAATAATTGACACTTTTGCAACCCAGCATTTGTGAGGTAATTAATCAATAACATGAGAATCTGATCTCATGATTAGAAGGTAGGAATATCATCACTTCTGATGAATGAAACTCCCCACAGAAATATTTACTATGCTTCTGAGGGAAGCAATGTAAAAAAACCAAACATAATATATGTCAAATACACCAAAGAATGAGGCTTATTTGTCTCTAAATGTTGCTTTTGTAAGTGTAACGTGAGCAGTAGACTCAAAGTTAATTCTGGTTAGATTTTAATTGATATTTTCAGTTGCTACAGCAGCTCGTCCTCTGTTAACATTAGCTTAGAGGTAATGATCCCGAATGCGGAGCATTGCAAATAGCATATGTCTGTCTTTTATTTCAGCTGCCACACACGTCCACAGAAAGATGTGAGCGTACAAACAAGAAGGCAAAATGTTCAAAAGAGCCGAGCTGACGATGCTTCTGCTTCCAGAGGGCAGCGAAGAACAAGAGAATAGAAAAGATAAAGGAGTAAACATCTAAAACCTCCTTTCCCCCCCCAATTCCAAAACAAACTCTTAACTGCAACTCTTACAAGTAGCATTCCGCTGCTCATCTCTGGATTTTGTACACTTTCTTTTGATGCATGCTGTTTTTGCCCCACTCAGCTATATGGCTCTGTTTTCTTGTGTGTTTCTTGTAATGATCAAACTTCTTTTTCATTATTTGCCTTAAGAAATATGTCATATGTCAGCCAACACCTTTTGATTAGCCACAAAGCAAGAAAGCATGAGATTAGCCTTGTCTCATGCTTTCTTGCTTTGTGGTAGATCTTTGTTCTGTCTTCACTGAGATATTTGAATGCTAATCAATAAAAAATAAAATAAAATAAAATCATGTACTGAATTTAAAAAGCTGCATTCAGTGCATGACATATTTCAGCAACGTATACAATTTGAAGGTGACACAATTGCTGGTGCCAGACAAGGCAGTCTGAGTATTTTAGAAACTGCTGATTTCCCATAAAGCTATTTCTAGGGTTTACATAAAATGCATACCTTTACAACCAAACTATGCAAAAGGGCATCTCTGAATCCTCAATATGTTGAACCTTGAAGCAGATGGGCTACAGCAGCAGAAGACCACACTGGGTGACACACCTTTGGTTCAGCTGAGCATTGTTTAAACACGCAGCCTACCCGAATACTATTCCCAACCATACCCATCCGTTTACGACCAATTGACCAATCTGCTGATGGCAGATAGCATGGCAACGCATGCTCATTCAGTTAATTGCTCTACTTTTATTCCTC